TCACGCTCATAGTCCCAAAACTACGTGCCCCCGTAGGTTAAGTCCCATCTGTGGGCATTATACTTAGTGATCACGCCAGTCATGCTTATATACCCTTGGAAAGGTATATTGGGTCCTCTCGATGGGGTGTATACATCGGACCCCACATTTAGCTCATTCTGTTTTATGTCGGTAAATAGTAGCTCCCACAATTAGATTTGTGTATTGACCAGGTTACTAGTTACATTTTCAGTATTCAGTTTCAGCATGTTATGTACTTGGTCATTGCATTCAGTTTAGTTATATTCAGTATATCTCAGTATCTTTATCATGTTCAGATTATACCAATTCTCAGTATTCTTTGTTTTGTTACATGTTTGTTTAGATTTATTCTATCCTGCATGCTCGATACCTTTCAAGTACTGATGCATACTCTGCGCTACAACTTCTCGTCATATAGGTTCAGGTCCTCAACATTCAGATCACGCATAGATCGATTCCCCATCTCCAGTTTAGCAGTATTAGTGGTGAGTTCTCATTCTTCGAGGACGATAGACATTATTCTTTATATTTCAGTCTTTCATTCTAGTTTCAGTTTTACTCGAGTTAGCTTGGGGCATGTCCCAACATCTCTAGTCAGTTAGAGGCTTATTTCAAACATAGACAGATTCAACTTTAGTATTTGAGTTTTATTTCAGTATCTTAAACTATTCGAAGTATTTATATATTTAGACTTAGATTGGGTAGTCCCCCTCATTTCAATTTATCTCATGTTTAAGCTTCCGCACAGTATTTCTTATTTTCAGTTTGTCTTAGTATGCTTATGATATGCCTACTCAGGGTTAGTATGGGTCACTCGTGATCCTAAGTCTGGTGTTTACGTCAAGGGGGTAGCCTCGGGGCGTCACAACGGTCTTGCTCCTAGACAGTGATTTCTTGATCATTTCTCATGTTTAACTATCTAAAATCACTCCTAATCATCATGATTTCTTTCCTTTCACAAATCACAACCTTGAATTCATAAATCAAATTCAAGGTAGAATTGAGAGTCAAGTCTTGAGAGTTCTTCGGGTCATTTTAAGAAGTCTGTTACAAATCTTCTAAACATGTTTTAAGAATCAAGCATTGAGATTGATAAAGAATAGAGCCGAGTTCATTTTCTTTAAAATGCTACAAGGGGACTATGTATTCCCAAAGAGTAAATGTTTTCACATTTAAGATGAGAGGAAACACCGATTTCCAAAAGTGTTTTCATGAGTAGTTTTGAGTTCCATATATTTTAAGAGATAAGAGTTTTGAGTAATAACCTCAAATATTACAGAAAGATTTATGTTTGAAACATATGAGGTGAGTAATTTTGGGAGTAGTATTGAACACCGATATGGTGACGAGTTTATAATAACTCCAGTCTCCATAAACCATGTAGCCATCGTGGGTAGAAAGGGTCATACTTTTTAGATGATTCATTATACTTTTTAACATAGACTAGTGGATCCACTTAGTTGTGGCGTTCTATATTCCGGCAAGTTATAGGATAGTTCTGGCAGTGTGGGTGAGACGATGTATCATCACATAGCTCATAGTGATGGTTCTCGGTTAGAGAAACTCCCACAAAGTTATATTATACTCTATTATATATAAATTGAGTTGTTATCGTATTTTTCAATACATTGAGTTGATATCTACTGTTTGAAATGTTTTATATAAACTGCATCTTTATTGTTGTTTATTTGTGCATTGAGTTGAGTATCCATAAGTTGAGTAAAGCTGAGGTAAGTGTTTCTTTCAGAATTCAGTTCAAGCTTATGTCAAGCTTAGTTTTCTCCTTACATTCTCATACATCCAATGTACTGATGTCATTTGGCCTGCATTGTTTTATGATGCAGATATAGGTAACCAAAATCAACATGTAGATCCTTATTGATCCAGTAGAGCATTCAGAGTCAGTTGTTAATCCTCCTTCCTTTTACATTATTTCAGTATTTTCGGTTGTTAGGATGATCGAGGGTCTTGTCCCGACATACCTCATAGTTGTAAAGGCTTCATACACAGATAGTTATTAGTTCATTAGTGTTGATATTTCAGTTGTTTTTATTATAAAACTTGAGTTGCCTTATTGGCCTGTTGAATGTTTTCTTTTATAACATTCTAGTTCAGTACATAAATTTATCTTTGTTGAGTCAATTATTCCACTAAGTAGTATGGCAGGTCGAGGGTTCGCTTAGGGCCAACAATGGTTCTCGAGTGCCTATCCCACCAAAGGTGTAGGCTTGGGGCGTGACAGTTTAAAGCATTTTTTAAGTAGCTTTTGAATTGGGTTTTGGAATCAAAGCTACATTGAATCATTGTAAGGACTTGGAGATTCATACCCAACTATGGAGAAAGTAATAGGTTTTAATTTCTTACTTTATATGATGTGTAGCTAAAACACATGTTCTTGGGGGTGTGACTATGTGACTCATTGTCTAGTTTATCTTATGGGTGTCAAGGATTATTGATATTATTGTTGTTTTGAAATGGGTTTGATTTATAGATGATTTTCAATTTATGAATTGAAATGATGATTTCAGTTCTAATTTCGTATGTAATTCTTAATTAAGAGAGCGGTGTAAAGTAAAGGTTATAAATCAACATTTGTAGTGATAGGGTTTTTGTGGGTTCAGCTCGAGACAGTGAATTCTATACTCGATCTTGCCTGTCTAGCTCGAGAGAGTAGATAAAGCGAGGTATTGGTTGTTTATAGTGTTAAGTTTGTCGAGGTTTGAGAGAACTCGCTTGAACCATATTAGTTGTACGAGAGAAAGCTATTGCATCCAAAGTCTGGCATACCCACTGAGATTTTGCAAACTTTAGTAGTCATTGATCACCCATTTAGCGAAGTTGACAATTATTTGATCACATCCCAAAGTATCCATTATTTACTTGATTGTCCCTGTTGTTCATAATTGTTTTAGTTGCTAATTGACAAACCAATCCCAACATCAGACATTTGTGTCACCCTTACAATTTATCTAAATGTTTTCGATAATTTCTATTCGTACAACCGACTAGATCCGTTTATAACTTCATAATTGAATTCGAACTTGCACTACTCTCTGTGAGTTCAACCCCAACTCATTTGTTAGGTTTTATACTAGATTACGATGGTCTACACCTAGTATTGAATGAGGTGTAGTTGAGCATGTATCAAAAGTGGTGTTGCTGCCGGAGAGTGGTGTTTAGAGTTCTATTATTAAAGTTTGAATTGTAATTTGTTTGTGTTGTAGTTGAATCGAATTACCTTCTGTTGTGAGCGGTTTATGATCAGGTTACTAGATGAGTGCAGCTGGAAGCACCGTGAACTAACTTGGTCACCAAAATGATGTTGGTGATTTCAATCACGCCAATGAAGCTCAACTGGGGAGCGTATGTTCTATTCCCTTACCTCCGATTATGGGGAATGTTGTCTTCGATGTTACTAGCACAATGTTGCAACTCTTGCAAGCTAAGGGTGTATTCAGAGGGCTGGATCATGAGAACCCCCATGACCGCATTCAAAAATTTGTAGCTATATGTAGTCCATTTTTACTAAAGAATATTTCACAAGAATCAGTTCGGCTCCAATTGTTCCCTTTCTCTTTGATGGGTGAAGCAACCAAGTGGTTGGCAGGTCTGCCAAGGGACTCCAATGCATCATAGGAAGTGCTCACTGAGGCATTATAAGATTCTTTCCACCCTCTAAAATGGTGAAATTGTGTGACAACATTCAGAACTTCAAGCGAGTAGAAAGGGAATCGATTCATGAAACTTGGCTGAGATTTCAAAAGTTGCTACTACAATGTCCTACTCATGGGCTTTTGGGTAATGTAATACTTCAATATTTATACTGGAGTTTAGACTCAGTGAACAAAGGGGTAGCTGACCATTTGGCTCGAGGGGGGATAATGTTACAACCATTTGAGGTAGCCTAGACCCTTCTTGATGAAATGACAATGATCAATCGGGCATGGTACTTCTCAAGATGACCAAATATCTCCCTTAAACTTTAGGATGACAAAAGAGCACCAAGGAGAAAAGACGGGATGAAAATATTAGCAAAATGATGTACCAATTGGAGTTGTTGAGTAAACATATGTAAGAAAGTGTTGGTGAACACAAAGATGTAAAAAGAGTTTCTAGACTTGAGAAGGGTTCTCACCCGAGCTATTTAAAGTCAATTGGGAATCAAGATTGGAACTCACATAATGAATAAGAGTGGAGACAATACAGTAATGATTGGACTAATCAAAATAGCCCTTGGAAGAGAGCAGAAGAGCACCACATTCAATCAAGCGACAGCCCAAGATCTAAGGGTAGTTTGGGAAACCTACGAGTGGATGAACTGTTGTCGCGCATCCTAGGTTAGGTAGAATGATCTAATGGAGATGAACGCGAACTTCTCATCATTGAATAATAGGTTAAATCTCATGCGGATGTAATCAAGCATCTTGAAGGGTAAATGAACAAACTTTAAGCACAATTGAAACCCAAGGTAATTGAAGGGAATGAAGATGAGTGTGTTACCAGTTTGAAGGTTGATAATGACAAGGATTTGGCGGTTGTGACTCGAAGTGGAAATGTAGCAGTTGGTAATGTGAGGGTTAATGATGGGACAAATGCTTATGAAAAGAGAAAGACATCGTTGAGGAAGACAGGTCCGGTCAAGCACCGAAAAAGGATATGCTTAGAGATGAGGAAGAGAGTCCAAAACAAAGCCCCACCTAAAAGTTGCAAAAAGTGAAAGAAAGGGCTACATCATCTCCAAAACTAGTGCAACCTCTTCCAAAAATAAATCATGCATTACCTCAACGTCTCAAAAAGAGAAATGAAGATGAAAAGTTCAAGAAATTCCTACTCGTGTTCAAGACACTTTCTATAAATATTCCTTTAGTGGAAGCAATGTTGGAGATGCCGGGATATGCGAAATTCATGAAAGAGTTGCTCACTATGAAGAGAAGCATGTACTTCGAAACAATTGAAGTTTCTCATAATATAGTGCAATTATGACTAGCGATGTGATTGCAAAGAAAAAGGATCCAGGGGCATTCACTATCCCATGTACCATTGGTATGCTTAAGTTTACCAAAGCTTTATGTGATTTGGCGGCAAGTATAAACTTGATGTCATATGCAATCTTCAAACAACTTGGATTGGGCAAATCGAAATCCACAACAATGTGGCTTGTAATGGCAGACCTATCTATTAAACACCCTATTGGGATACTTTATGACATATTGGTAAAGGCTGATCGATTTATCTTTCCGGCTGATTTTGTTATTCCAGATTGTGAAATTGATGCGGAGGTTCCTATTATTTTGGGTAGACTATTCTTGGCGACTGCAACAACTCTAGTGGATGTTAAAAGTGTTGAGTTAAAATTTTGGGGAAATGAAGAAGAGGTTACCTTTAATGTGTGCAAATCAATGAAGCAACCTAGTGACATTCAGGTACTTTCAACGATTGATGTGATTGAAGAAACAGTGGCTAGTGTGAGTGAAATGATGTTTATGGGTGAACCTCTTGAGGTTGTTCTTTGATTTATGATGAGACCGAAGTTCAAGGGTATGATGAAGTGGTAGCTACTCTATCAAGACTAGGTGCATATCCAAGAAACCCATTGAAGCTAGACATTGATCTAAAGAATCGAGAGAGTCCTCCCGCTAAACCATCCACGAAATAACCCCCAAAGTTGAGTTGAAAGAGCTCCCTTTTCATCTTCGGTATACGTTCTTGAGGGCAAATAATACATTGCTTGTTATCATTGTAGCAAACTTGCTTGAGTGACAAGTTAAATTGCTTCTTGAGGTGTTGAAACGTTACATAAAGGCAATAGGATGGACACTGATATTGTAGGTATTCCACCCGGAATTCACACTCACAAAATCCAATTAGATAGCAAATGCAAGCCAAGTGTTGAGCATCAAAGAAAAATAAATCCATATATGTAAGAGGTGGTAAAGAAAGAGTTTATTCAACGGCTAGACACAGGCGTGGTGTACCCTATTGCGGATAGTAAATGGGTAAGTCTCGTACAATGTGTACCCAAGAAAGAATGCATCACGATGGTCCCGCTTGAGAAAGGAGAACTTGTACGTATGAGGCCGGTAACCAGTTGGAGAGTATGCATAGACTGTCAGAAGCTAAATTCTTGGACCGAGAAAGATCATTTTCCTATGCCATTTATGGATCAAATGCTCGATACACTTGCGGGGCGTGGATGGTACTGTTTCTTGGAAGGATACTCTGGGTACAACCAAATCTATATTGCACCACAAGACTTAGAGAAAACCACTTTCACATGTCCCTATGGAACTTTTGCCTTAAAGAGGATGCCCTTTGGATTGTGCAATGCTCTGACGACACTCCAACGATGCATGCTTTCTATTTTTGCTGACATGGTGAAAGAATCAATGGAAGTCTTCATGAATGATTTCTTAGTGTTAGGTGATTCATTTGAGACATGCTTAACTCATCTTGGGCAAGTCCTTCAAAGGTGTGTGGAAACCAACTTGGTCCTCAATTGGGAGAAGTGTCATTTCATGGTCAAGGAAGGCATAGTCCTAGGTCACAAGGTGTCACAGAAGGGATTGGAGGTGGGCAAAGAAAAGATCAAGGTTATTGAGAAGTTGCCACCACCTATTTGTGTAAAAGGTGTTCAGATTTTTTCGGGTCAAGCAGGGTTCTATCGAAAATTCATCAAAGAATTTTCAAAAATTGCACACCCATTGTGCAAGATATTAGAGAAAAAGGTGAAGTTCCTTTCTGATAGTTCTTGCTCAAAAGCTTTTGAATGTTTTAAAGGAAAGCTAATCTCCACTCCAGTGATCATTAGCCTGGATTGGTCCAAATTATTTGAGGTGGTGTGTGATGCAAGTGGTACCGCTCTAGCAGCCGTGTTTTTTGAGTAGCTTTTGAATTGGGTTTTAGAATTGAAGCTACATTAAATCATTGTAAGGACTTGGAGATTCATACCCAACTATGGAGAATGTAATAGGTATTAATTTCTTGCTTTATATGATATGTAGCTAAAACCCCTGTTCTTTGGTGGGTGTGACTATGTGACTAATTGTCTAATTTAGCTTATGGGTGTCAAGGATTATTGATGTTATTGTTGTTTTCAAGTGGATTTGATTTAAGCTGATGTTAAATTGATGAATTGGAATGATAATTTCAGTTCTAATTTAGTATGTTATGCTTTCTTGAGAGAGGTGTAAAGTCAAGGTTATAAATCAACATTTGTAGTGATTGGGTTATTGTGGGTTCAACTCGAGAGAGTGAATTCTATACTCGATCCTGCCTATCTAGCTCCAAAGAGTAGATAAAGTGAGGTAGTGGGCTATTTAAAGTGTTAAGCTTGTCGAGGTTCAAGAGAACTCGCTTGAACCGTAATAGTTGTTTGAGAGAAAGCTATTGCATCAAAAGTCTAGCCTACCCACTAAGATTTAGCAAACTTTAGTACTCATTGACCACCCATTTCGCGAAGTTGACAATTAATCAGTCACATCCCCAAGTACCCCTTAATTACTTGATTACCCCATGTTGTTCATAATTGTTTTAGTTACTAATTGACAAACCAATCCCCCCATCTGACATTGTATCACCCTTTCGATTTATCTAATGTTTTTGATAATTTCTATTTCTACAACCGATTAGATCGTGTTTATAACTTCATAACTGAATTTGAACTTGTACTGCTCCCTATGGGTTTAACCCCAACTCATTTGGTGGTTTTATACTAGATTACGAT